CAGTAAATTCAAAGTAAATTCTCAGTAAATTACTTGTTAAATTCTAAGTAAAGTACTCATTAAATTCTCAGTAAATTGACAGTAACTTCTCAGTAAATTACACAAAAATTTCCCAGCAAATTACTCAGTAAAGTCCCTTTTAATTACTCAGTAAATTTCCAGCAAATTCTCAGTAAATTATTAGGAAAATTCTCCATAAATTCGTAATAAATTATTCAGTAAATTCTCAATAAATTACTCAGCAAATTCTCAGTAAATTACTTAGTAAATTCTCAGAAAATTGTCAGTAAATTACTCAGCAAATTTCCAGTAAATTACAAGTAAATTCCCAATAAATTCAAAGTAAATTACTCAGTAAATTGCCTGTAAATTCTCAGTAAACTACTCAGCAAATTCCCAATAAATTCTAAGTAAACTACTCAGCAAATTCCTGGTAAATTCTTAGTAAATTACTCAGTAAATTCAGAAAATTGCTCTGTAAATTTTTAGTAAATTCTCTGTAAATCACTCTTTAAATTCCAAGTGAATTCTCAGTAAATTCCCAGTAAATTTTCAGAAAATTACTTAGTAAATTTTGAGTAAATTCTCAGTAAATTACTTAGTAAATTCCCAGTAAATTCCGATTAAATTCTTAGAAAATTACTCTGTAAATTGCAAGTAAATTCTCAGTAAATTACTCAGTAAATTTCCTATAAATTATCAATAAATTACTTAGAAAATTCCCAGTAAATTCTCAGTAAATTACTTAGTAAATTCCCGATAAATTCTCATAAAATTACTCATTAAATTCACAGTAAATTACTCAGTAAATTCTCAGTAAATTACGCAGTAAATTTCGAGTATATCACTCAGTAAATTATCAATAAATTATCAGTAAATTACTCATTAAATTCTCAGTAAATTCCCAGTAAATTACTCACTAAATTCATAGTAAATTCTCAGTAAATTACTTATTAAATTCTCAGAAAATTACTCAGTAAATTCCTACTAAATTACTCAGTAAATTTGCATTAAATTCTCAATAAATTTTCACTAAATTCTCAGTAAATTGCTGAGTAAATTCGCAGTAAATTATCAGTAAATTACTCAGTAAATTGACAGTAACTTCTCAGTAAATTACTCAGAAATTTCCTAGTAAATTCTTAGTGAAATACTTAATAAATTCTCAATAAATTTACAGCAAATTATTCAGTAAATTTCAAGTAAATTACTCAGTAAATTTTAGTAACTTACTCAGTAAATTCCTCGTAAATTCTCAGTAAATTCCAAATAAATTCAAAGTAAATTACTTAGTAAATTCAGTAAATTAATCTGTAAATTTCCATTAAATTTTCAGTAAATTTCCAGTCAGTAAATTACTTTTTAAATTCCAAGTAAATTCTCAGTAAATTCCTAGTAAATTACTCAGTAAATTCTCAGTAAATTACTAAGTAAATTCTCAGTAAATTACTCAATAAATTCTCATTAAAATATCATAAAATTACTCAGTAAATTGTCAGTAAATTACTTAGTAAATTTCCAATAAATTCTCAGTAAATTACTGAGTAAATTCGCAGTAAATTTCCTGTAAATTACTCAGCAAATTCTCAATAAATTACTCAGTAAACTACTCAGTAAATTCCTAGTAAATTACTCTTCAAATTCCTCAAAAATTCTCAGTTAATTCCCAGTAAATTGTCAGTTAATTCCCAGTAAATTACTCAGTAAATTCCCAAAAAATTACTCAGTAAATTTCTCGTAAATTCTCAGTAAATTACTCAGCAAATTTCCAATAAATTGTTAGTAAATTACATAGTTAATTCCCAATAAATTCTCAATAAATTGCTCAGTAAATTCCCACTAAATTCTCGGTAAATTATTCAGTAAATTCTCAGTAACTTCTCAGAAAATTTCTCAGAAAATTCCCAGAAAATTACTAGTAAAGTACTCCGTAAATTCCTTGTAAATTGCCAGTAAATTACTCAGTAAACTCCAAGTAAATTCTTAGTAAATTCTCAGTAAATTATTTAGTAAATTCCCATTAACTTCTCAGTAAATTACTCAGAAAATTTCCAGTAAATTTCCTGTAAATTGTCAGTAAATTCTCAGTAAATTGCTGAGTAAATTCTCAATAAATTATCAGTAAATTACTTAGTAAATTGCCAGTAACTTCTCAGTAAATTCCCAATAAATTCTCAGTAAATTACTCTGTAAATTCTCAGTAAATTACTCAATAAATTCTGATTAAATTCTCAGTAAATTATTCAGTAGATTGTCAGTAAGTTCTTAGTAAATTCTCAGTAAATTACTCAGCAAATTCGCAGCAAATTCTCATAAAATTCTCGATAAATTACTCAGTAAATTCCCAGTAAATTCTCAGTAAATTACTCAGTAAATTCCCTGTCAACTCTCAGTAAATTACTCAGTAAATTCCCAGCAAATTACTCAATAAATTCTCAGTAAATTCTCACCAAATTCTCAGTAAATTATATAGTAAATTCCTAGTAAATTACTCAGTAAATTCGTAGTAAATTCCAAGTTAATTCAATGTAAATTACTCAGTAAATTCCCTATAAATTCTCAATAAATTCTCTATAATTTACTCAGTAATTTCCTGTAAATTCTTAGTATAATACTCAGTAAATTACTCTGTAAATTCCAAGTAAATTCTCATTAAATTGGTTAGTAAATTTCCAATAAATTATTCAGTAAATTCCCCGTAAATTCTTAGTAATTACTCAGTAAATTCTTAGAAAATTACTCTCTAAATTCCCAGTAAATTCTCAGTAAATTTTCAGTAAATTACTTGGTAAATTCCCAGCTAATAACTGAGTAAATTCACTGTCAATTACTCATTAAATTCTCAGTAAATTATTCTAAAAATTTTAAGTAAATTCTCAGTAAATTCCCTGTCAATTACTCATTAAATTCTCAATAAATTACTCCGTAAATTTCAACTAAATTCTCAATAAATTACTCAGTAAATTACCAGCAAATTCTCAGTAAATTGCAAGTAAATAACTCAGGAAATTACTCAGTAAACTCACAGTAAATTCTCAGTAAATTACTCATTAAATTCTCAGTAAATTCACAGTAAATTCCCAAAAAACATATCAGTAAATTACTCAGAAAATTCCCTGTAAATTGTCAGTAAATTACTTAGTAAATTTCCAATAAATTCTCAGTAAATTCTCAGCAAATTACTAAGTAAATTCCCACTAAATTACTTAGTAAGTTACTAGTAAATTTCCAATAAATTATCAATAAATTACCCTGTAAATTCTTAATAAATTACTCAGTAAATTCTGAATAAATTACTCATTAAATTCCTAGTAAATTCCCAATAAAATACTGAGTAAATTTCCCGTAAATTCTCAGTAATTTACCAGTAAATTCTCAGTAAATTCCCTATCAATTACTTATTAAATTCTTAGTAAATTACTCAGTAAATTCCCAATAAATTCTCAGTAAATTACAAGCAAATTCTAAGTAAATTACTCAGTAAATTCCCAGTAAAAATTAATCAGTAAATTTCCATTAAATTCTCAGTAAATTATAAGTAAATTCTGATTAAATTACTCAGTAAATTACCTGTAAATTCTCAATAAATTACTCAGTAAACTCCCAGTAAATTCTCAGTAAATTACTTAGTATATTCCCAATAAATTACACAGTAAATTTCAAGTAAATTACTCAGTAAATTCCAAATAAATTCTCAATAAATTACTTAGTAAATTTCAGTAAATTGTCAGTAAATTACTCATTAAATTGTCAGTAAATTACTTGTTAAATTCTCAGTAAATTACTCAGTAAATTCCCAGTAAATTACTTAGAAAATTCTCAGTAAATTACTCAGTAAATTTCCAGTAAATTCTCTGTAAATTACTCAGTAAATTTCCAATAAATTACTCAACAAATTCCCAGCAAAGTACTCAGTAAATTCTTAGTAAATTACTCAGTAAATTCCCAGTAAATTAATCAGTAAATTCTCATAAAATTACTCAGTAAATTCTCAGTAAATTACTCAGTAAATTCCTAGTAAATTACTGAGTAAATTCTCAGTAAATTACTCGTTATATTCCCTGTAAATTTTTCGTAAATTACTTAGTAAATTGCCAGTAAATTCTCCCCAAATTACTTAGAAAATTCCACATAAACTTCTAGTAAATTACTCACTAAATTTCGAGTAAATTCTTAGCAAATTATTCAATAACTTTCAGTAAATTCTCAATAAATTACTCGGAAAAATTCCAATAAATTGTCAGTAAATCACTCAGTAAATTCTCTGTAAATTACTTAGTAAATTGTTAGTAAATTTCTCAGAAAATTCTCAGTAAATTACTTAGTAAATTCGCAATAAATTACTTTGAAAATTCCCAATAAATATTCAGTAAATTACTCAGTAAATTTCCAGTAAATTCTTCGTAAATTACTCAGTAAATTGTCAGTAAATTTCTTAGTAAATTCTCAGTAAATTCTCAGTAAATTACTTAGTAAATTCCCAGTAATTCCCAATAAATTCTGAGTAAATTCCCAATAAATTCTCAGTAAATTCCTAGTAAATTCTAAGTAAATTACTCAGTAAATTTTCAGTAAATTAGACAGTAAATTCCCAATAAATTACTCAGCGAATTTCCAGTAAATTACTCAGTAAATTCCAATGAATTATTAGTAAATTCTCAATAAATTATTAAGTAAATTCCCATTAAATGACCAGTAAATTACCCGGTAAATTGCTAGTAAATTCTCAAAAAATTACACAGTAAATTCCTAGTAAATTCTCAGTAAATTCCCACTAAATTCTCAATAAATTACTCTATAAATTCCTAGTAAATTCACAGTGAATTCCCTGTAAATTCTGTCATGATCTTAACCCGCCCCTATAGGTTAGGATCATAACCGGCCAGTAATCATTAGATTACCTATGGCCTTAGATAGAAAACGATTTTCAAATAACCATATGGGGCCAAAAGCGGAAGCAAAAGATAATAATTGTCCAATGAGCTTGTGCATAAATGGAATGAACAAAAACATTTTTTTTTTATATTAATAACTCACACCAAACATACCCACATAAAAGACATTCTATGTCTAGGTCCATGTAATACCATATTTATACAAAACCATTGCCTACATACTGATAAGGTCAAACACAACCATCAAAGAAGACAAAAAGGTCAAAAGGATGGTTTTGAAAACTAAGGCCTCGTTCGTGAGGCGTGACATGGTTGACTCCACAACTTGGCATTCTTTCTTGGGTTCGTTACAGTTGGGGTTAGGCATCCTGCTGCTCACCTACATACATATATACAAAGAGTGAGCGAAAGCCCAATGAATAATACCATAGTAAAGAGGTTATACGAATGAGGTTTGTATTAAGTACATCGAACCCATAAATTTCATATACAAGCGGCCTTAGGCCTATTCTGTGTTTTCTTGTACATGTCAAACGGCCTCGGGCCCAATTTAGATTTTTATCAAATATATCGGACGGCCTCGGGCCCATTGCATCAAACATGTTAGACTCATCAAACAGCCTCGGGCCTAATTCAAACACTTCAACGTATCAAACGGCCTCGGGCCCATTATTTCCATATCCGTGTCTATGCGCATTTCGTATTCATGATCATGATCTCTTTTCATTCAAACGGCCTTTAGCCCGTTATTTCCATATTCATATCTATGCGCATTTCATATTCATGATCATGATCTCTTTTCATTCAAACGGCCTTTGGCCCATTACATTTGTGTTCAAACGGCCTTTGGCCTATTAAGATATTCGAACGACCTTTGGCCCATCAAAATGATCAAACGACCTTTGGCCCATCAAAATATTCAAACGGCCTTTGGCCCAACCTAGACATATCAAACGTATCAAACAGCCTCAGGCCCAATTCATACTCTTATCACATATCAAACGGCCTTGGGCCCAAATCATATTCTTGACGGAGTCTTACACGAAAATTAGGCATATAGAATACTCTTTCGTAGTTCAAATCAACAAATCTATGGAACTTATACAGAAAATTAGGCATATAGATTACTCATTCATAATTCAAATCAACAAATCCATTGAGCTTATACAGAAAATTAGGCATATAGAATGCTCATTCGTAATTCAAATCAGCAAATCCATGGAGCTTACACAGAAAATTAGGCATATAGGTTACTCATTCATAATTCAAATCAACAAATCCATGGAGTTTATACAGAAGTAGCATTTGGAAAATAACATACTTGAAAATATCTTTACTAAGATATTACTCACAATGTTCCGATGCTCGATTCGTCCTTGCACTTGACCCTACACAATTCGTAATACACATAGAAATCGGGTCACAATATAGTTCATTCCGTTCTTTAATTTGTTTAATTCTCTTAGGCTCTTTCCAACTCTTTAGTTCATTTACAATGCTTAGTACATGCCTAAAAGTGCTTAGAAGTGAGCGAGAAAGGAAAACAAAACACAAAACCATTTTTCATAATTTCAGGAACAAGGCTCTCCGCTCGAGCGCGGCTTTGGCCGCTCGAGCGAACCCCTTTTGGCTGCAAAAGTACTGGTTACTACATTTCTACGCTTGAGCGTGACTCTTTCTGCTCGAGCAGACATCAATGTCTGCAAAAGTTCTGGAAGCCAACATTTCACTGTAACAACCCTCACTTTGTCTTAGTCATGCTCACATGCATCTGCATGATCCTTGTCTTGATTAAACTTGCATTTTGATTTGTTTCATCTAAGTGTTGCTTGCATGCTTTGTTCCTTGCTTAGTGTGTGTTAAGCCGAGGTCATCTTAAGCCCAGGTCACACCTTTGAACCTCTTACACTTAGGACCATTTGGAACCGCTTTGGTTGACCTCCACCTTCACCCTGGCATATTGGCCGAGATGTCATCATTTAGGCTGAGGTGTGCATCACCTAGGTCGAGATGTGCATCATCTAGGCCGAGATGTTATCATCTAAACGTCCTAGATCTTTAATCCTTGCACCTAGTGATCTTGTTCCTGGACTGGTATGACCTAGACCGAGGTGTGGCACAGCTAGGCCAAGTGTTATCCTTCCTAGCTGAGACCATAATGACAGTACTTGCCTGAAGCCTTGTCCTAATCCGAGGTCATTACCTACCGGGGTGTCCATGCCATCTTACTTGTTGCACACCCTTGTCATGCTCTTGTCTTGTCAGTCAGTCACTTTTTTGAGGAAAGCCAACCAGTCGTTGTCACGTGTTTCAGTAGAGGGTTAAGTCAGCCGGCAGGATGAGAAAACATATCATTTTGTCATATCTTTGTCCTAGGAAGAGAGAGAGAAGCTCTAGGGAGAGGAGGAAATGAGTTCTTGAGAGAGAAGTAGATTTCCAAGCTTGATCCTTAGAGTCTAAACTGTTTGATCTGAGTTTTGAGGTTAGATTCTTGATTTACTCTTGTTGTTCTTTATGTTTATTCGATCACATTGCATGATCTAGCATGATTCATGAGCCATGCATTGATTTAAAGTTTGGTTTTAGAAAGAGAAAATGGTATTCTTGTGTTCTTGAAGAAAAGCCTTGTTTTGATCCAAAAGTTTGTACCAAGATCCATGTTTTTGTGTTTGTTTTTATAAGATCTTCCAATATGGGTACCCAGGTCCATGTTTTCGAACTCATCTCATGAAATCTCAGATTTTGTAATAACAAGTTATGATTTTAGCATTTCATGTTCTTCATGTTCTTCAAAAAGAAACCCAGAATTTCCAGACTCCATTCCGTTGAATGTGGTCATCGGGACCATACCTCGGCCAAGAGGTGTGGGACCTCGGCCAGGACCTGGTTGGTACCCAGCATGTTTTCTCGAGATGAGAAACAGTGTTTTAACTCCCAGCACACGTGTCACGACCCCATTCCACCCCTAGTAGAATGGTGCCGTGATGGCCAGTAATTCGAGATTACCAAAGGCCAACTTACAAAGAGTCACACACAATCAGAGTATACATATGGGGCCTACATGTGCGGAAGTAATGAATTTAAATCTAATTAGTCCATAAGAGCTGTATATAGATTAAATGAAATGACATATAACTTATCAAGGTCTAACAACTTGAATACAATTAAAATAAAGTACAAAATACATCTTGATCAAAAGGCTTCTCAAGCTGACATAAACAAAAGAAGTAAACTACAGCCCAAGAATGCTACAAAAATGCAAATCCAAAACAAGTTGTAAATAATCATCTAGGCGTCGCCGCCTTCCTGCTCGTCACCGACATATATATAGAGAGAGGGTGAGCTTGGATACTCAGTGAATGGTACAAGTAATAAAGGTTTGAATGAATGATATCCGAGATCTTTTCCAAAACAATACATATCATAACTTTACAAATCAAAGGGATGAATCACGTTCATCTATCAAATCTTTCAAAACTTCTTGGATGTTAATAACATATACATAATACCAAATGATGACATTCCGGACAAACAAACCCATGCGAAAAACCGTCTGTGGCAAAACAAGGGTGCAGTTGCATTATAGTCCTCTGGCACTAAGGACTTCCAAAACAAGGGTGCAGTTGCATTATAGTCCCCTGGCACTAAGGACTTCCAAAACAAGGGTGCAGTTGCATTATTGTCCCATGGCACTAAGGACTTTCAAAACAAGGGTGGAGTTGCATTATAGTCCCCTGGCACTAAGGACTTTCCCAGAATGTCATCAAAACAAAGATAATACTAGATACAAAACTAGGGACAATCATTCATGCTTGATCAAATACTTTTCAAATACAAAGCAAAGCAAAGCTTTTATCAAAACATTATAACATAGCTTTATTAAAAATACCACTCACATAGTTCTTCGGGTGTAGGAATTACAAGCAAGGATCCAAGGCCTACAAGCACATAATAAATCCCATTGAATGTGTTTCAATAAGACAAGGTGAGATGCTCAAAGATGGATATGAAACGCATCCTTAAAACAAGCTTTACATGATAGGAAAGGATTTTTGCATTTCTTATAAAATCAAGTCAAAACAAAGCAAAACATGCTGGAAGTTACAACACTGCCTTTTCATCTTGGGAAAACATGCTGGGTACTAACCAAGTCTAGGCCGAGGTGTGTTCCTGATGACCACATTCATGGAAATGAAGTCTGGGAAAATCTGGGTTTCCCTCTTGAAGAACATGAAGAGCATGAATGCTAAATTCATAACTTCCCTATTTGAAATCTGAGTTTGAAAACATGGACCTGGGTATCCATACTTGAAGATTTCATGGAAACAAACAAAAAAACATGGAACTTGTTACAAACTTTCGGATCAAAACATAGTTTTATCTCAAGAACATAAGAACATCATTTTCTCTTTCTAAAGCAAGCTTTAAATCAATGCATGGCTCATGAATCATGCTAGATCATGCAATGCAATCGGATCAACATAAAGAATAACAAGAGTAAATCAAGATTCTAACCTCAAAACACGGATTAAACGGCTCAAACTCTAAAGATCAAGCTTGGGATCTAGCTCTCTCACTCTAACTTCCTCTCCTCTTCCTAGAGCTTCTCTCTCTACCATGCAAGAGATATGACACAAAATGATATATTTCTAACTCTGCCGGCTGACTTAACCCTCTGTTGGGACACATGGCAACGGCTGGTTGGATCTCCTCAAAAAGGTGATAGATTGATAAGATAAGAGCATGACAAAGTGTAAGCAACAAGTAAGGTGACAGGGGCACTTCGGCGGGTAATGATCTCAGCTAGGACAAAGCTTCGGCAAGTAAGGACTCAATGATCTCGGCTAGAAAGGACAACACTTGGCCTAGCTGTGCCACACCTTGGCCTAGATGTGCCACACCTCGGTCTAGGTCGTACCAGTCCAGGGACAAGATCACTTTGGTATAACATCACGGCCTAGATAATACACATCTCGGCCAACATGTCAAGGTGAGGGTGGAGGTCAACCAAAGTGGTTCCAAGATGGTCCTAGGTGTAAGAAGTTCAAAGGTGTAACCTAGGCTTAAGATGACCTCGGCCAAACTCACACCAAGCAAGGAACAAGGCATGCAAGCAACACTTATGTGAAACAAATCAAGGTTTGTAAATGCGACTTAACAAGACAAGATCATGTAAATACATGCAAGCATGACTAGAGTAAAGTGAGGGTTGTTACAACACGTTTTGCTTTGTCTTGACTTAGTTTTGAAAGAAATGCCGAGATCATTTACACTCATGCAAAGCTTGTTTTAGGAAATGCATTCCATATCCATCTTTGAGCATCTCTTCCTGTCTTCTTGAAATGCATTCAATGGGATTTATTATGTACTTGTAGGCCTTGGATCCTTGCTTGTAATCCCCACATCCAAAGAGCTATGTGAGTGGTATTTTTAATAAAGCTATGTTCTAATGTTTTGATAAAAGCTTTGCTTGTTTCGTTTTGGAAAAGTGATGTTCAAGTATGCATGATTATCCCTAGTTTTGTATCAAGTATTATCTTGTTTTGATGACATTCTTGGAAAGTCCTTAGTGCTAGGGGACTATAATGCAACTAGTAGCCTTGTTGAAATATCTCCCTTGCCACCGACGGCCTTGTGCGGGTGGGTTTGTCTAACTGATTCCGGGTCGGTTATTCCCTTGTTTTGTCAGGAATGTCATCCCTTGTATTATACCGATGCTAGTAAGCATCCCTTGAAGCTTTGAAAGACTTGATAGATGAACTTGGTTCATCCCTTGATTTTGTACAAGCTATGATATGTATTGTTTTGATAAAGATCTCGAATATCATTCATTTAAACCTTTATTACTAATATCATTCACTGAGTATCCAAGCTCACCCTCTTCTTATATATATATAGGTGACGAGCAAGAAGGCGGAGACGCCTAGATGATTATTTGCAAGATGTTTGGGATTCATATTTTGCTAGCATTTTGAAGATTATGTTTCTTAGTTTTAATTCACTTCTTTTGTATATGTCGGCTTGAGAAGCCTTTTGATCAAGATGTAATATGTACTTTATTTTAATTGTATCCAAGTTGTAAACCACGTTAAAGTGTATGTCATTTCATTTAACCTATGCACAGCTCTTATGGACTAATTAGATTTAAATTTATTGCTTCCGCACATGTAAGTCCCATATGTATACTCTGAATGTGTGTGAATCTTTGTCAGTTGGCCTTTGGTAATCTTGGATTGCTGGCCATCACGGCACCATTCTACTAGGGGCGGAATGGGGTCGTGACATTCATGCTCGAGCGAAGATTTCCCCACTCGAGTGGACATGCCGAATTCTAGAATTTCCATAATTGCATTTGAAGCTCAAACTAAGCATTCAAAGGGTCTAAAACTCATGTTCTTGATACAAAATTATGGAAGTCTTTATACAATATGAGGACATAAGAAAATTGAGTCTAATTTGTCCAAAATCACAATTCAATTCCCAGATTATTTCACATTTTTCTTCATAACCCATGCCAACTTCATATCTTTAAAACTCATGCAAATTAATTTCCATCACTTTGAATTTCACATGAAAATTAATTTCCATATCACGTTGAATCTCACATGCATGTGAGATATAGGCTTCATTTTCAACTTAAACAACACAATTGATGCTCATCTTCATCGACCATGATCAATTTTAAATCAATTACATCAAAACTCCCTTAATTTACAAATTAAGTTCTTTGTTCATAAACCCATAATTTTCCAAAGCTTAATTCTTATTACATCAAAACATGCAATCAATTATTTTAAATCCATGATGCATGTAAATTTATACCTTATAAATATATAAAGGTTTCCAAGCCCAAGCTCAATTGAAGAATTATAATTATTTCCATATTGATTAACCTTAACCATGTTCATGAATTAATTCTTTAATTTCTCCAAATTACATGCATGTAAAATTTAGACTCAAATTCATATCAGATATCCAAAATCAAATCCAAAATAATCAATTTCTAGGTTAATTCCCATAAATTTGAACCTAACTCCATCGCATGGACCAAATCTTCAAATTAATCTTGATGCATGTAATCTATGGGACTTAATTCAAGAATAATTCTCAAAATTTAATTCAAACATAACAAATTTAAAGAACCATAACTCATATTTTTCAACCTAACTTGATTGAACATGCAAGATTATAAAAAATCAATCTCAAAATAATTACTTTCTAAATTAATTTCCATAATCATGAATCTAATTTAATTTCATCATCTTTTTGCTAATTTCCTTTTAATTACATGAAATTGAACCCATTTACCTCTTAATTTCAGCATGTAGGTAAATTATTTACAAAATTCAAGCTTCAATTTTTTTACCTTAAGCCTTCAATGGTTGAATCTCTTGAGTTCACTTCTTCCTTGGTTGAACACACACTCTCTCTCTCTCTCTCTCTCTCTCTCTCTCTCTCTTGGCTGTTTCCCAGCCCAAAGCAGAAATGAATCCAATTCTTTCACTCCTTAGCATAGACACACATATATGATTCTCAGCAAAGCTTTGGGCCCAAAGAATTACACTTGTCTCATAATCTCACCAACACGTATACACGTGCACACTTTTGAGGCTCCAGCATATACAACTCTAGGTTGTCTACACACTTCTCTTGATTAAGTAAATTAATGGGATTAGCTTAGTGCCTAATTATGTATTAATTACCACATAATTAAATTAATCATGGCTAATCATAAATCTCACCTAATTAAATTAGTCTAATTTGACTTCCTTTAGAGCCCAATTAATTCTATTTAAAATTATCAATCTGAATCAGATTTTTAATCACACTCCCAAAAGGCTCCAAATATTAAATTAAACTTATGGTCATCATCAATTTCGATTTCCCAAACCATTTAGGCCTTCAATTTCTAATCAGACTCTAAATTTTCGTCAATAATTACATATTCAAATTGGACATCCCATAAATAAATTTAATTCATAATAATCACCATTCTCAATCTTCATAATTTAACTAACTTAATTAATTCCAATTCGGACCTAATTAATCGAATCTCAATTCTGCTAAACTGAATCAAATATTTAATTAACTCCCAAATGGGTCCGTAATTAAAATTAAATTGATTCAACTTATTAATTTCGCTTCCTTAAGCCATTTGGACCCTTAAAATAAATCTTTCAACAGAATCATATACGAATCAGATTCCACAATTCTCACAAATCCCAAATTAAATTAGGATAACAACTAATTAAAATCTCAAATCTCCTTAATTAACCAAATATAAAATATTATACGTGACGGGGTCATCACAAATTCCCAATAAATTCTCAGTAAATTACGAAGAAAATTCTCAGTAAACTACTCACTAAATTCCCAGTAAATTCTCAGAAAATTCTCAGTATATTACTTAATAAATTACCATTAAATTCTCAGTAAATTACGCAATAAATTGCAAGTAAATTCTCATTAAATTACTCAGTAAATTTAAGTAAATTCTCAGTAAATTTTTCATAAATTACCTAGTAAATTCCCAATTAATTTTCAAAAAATTACTTAGAAAATTCCCAGTAAATTCTAAGTAAATTACTGAGTAAATTCCTAGTAAATTCTCTGTAAATAACTCAGTAAATTTCGTGTAAATTCTCGGTAAATTACTCAGTAAATTCCTAGTAAATTCTCATTAAATTACTCAGTAAATTCCCTGTAAATTCTCTAAAAATTACTAAGTAAATTTCATGTAAATTCTCAATAAATTCCAAGTAAATTATTCAGTAAATTCTCAGTAAATTACTTAGTAAATTCCCAATAAATTCTCTATAAATTACTCAGTAAATTTTCTTCAAATTCTAAGCAAATTACTCAGCATATTCCCAGTAAATTCTCAATAAATTACACCGTAAATTCCTAGTAAATTGTCAGTAAATTACTTAGTAAATTCCCAGAAAATTCTCAGTAAATTACTCAGTAAATAACTCATTAAATTCCCAGTAAATTCTCAATAAATTACAAATAAATTCTCAGTAAATTACTTGGTAAATTCCCAGTAAAATACTCAGTAAATTGTCAGTAAATTACTCAGTAGATTCTCAGTAAATAATTCTCAGTAAAGTCCTAGTAAATTCTCAGTAAATTCCTAATAAATTCATAGTAAATTACACAATAAATTCTTAGTAAATTACTCAGTAAATTCGCTGTAAATTTGCAGTAAATTACTCTTTAAATTACTCAGTAAATTCTTTGTCACTTCTCAGTAAATTACTTATTAAATTCTTAGTAAATTCTCAGTAAATTACTTTTTAACTCTAAGTAAATTACTAAGTAAATTGTCAGTAAATTTCCAGCAGATTACTGAATAAATTTCCTGTAAATTCTCAGTAATTTACTTAGTAAATTCTCAGTAAATTTTAAGTACATTCTCAGTAAATTACTCATTAAATTCTTAGTAAATTTCTCAATAAATTCCTAGTAAATTCCCCTTAAATTCTCAGTAAATTACGAAGAAAATTCTCAGTAAATTACTCACTAAATTCCTAGAAATTCTCAGTAAATTACCATTAAATTCTCAGTAAATTACTCAGTAAATTTACAGTAAATTCTCATTAAATTACTCAGTAAACTCCCAATAAATTCTCAGCAAATTCCCAATAAATTCTCAGTAAATTTTCTATAAATTACTCAGTAAATTCCCAATTAATTTTCAGAAAATTACTTAGTAAATTCCCAGTAAATTCTAAGTAAATTACTGAGTAAATTCCTAGTAAATTCTCTGTAAATAACTCAGTAAATTTCGTGTAAATTACTCAGTAAATTCCTAGTAAATTACTTAGTAAATTCCTTGTAAATTCTATATAAATTACTAAGTAAATTTCATTTAAATTCTCAGTAAATTCTACGTAAATTCGCAGTAAATTACTCAGTAAATTCCTTAGTAAATTCCCAGTAAATTCTCTGTAAATTACTCAGTAAATTCCCTTCAAATTCTAAGCAAATTACTCAACATATTCTCAGTAAATTCTCAGTAAATTACACCGTAAATTCCTAGTAAATTGTCAGTAAATTACTTAGTAAATTCGTAGAAAATTCTCAGTAAATTCTCAGTAAATAACTTATTAAATTCCCAGTAAATTCTCAATAAATTCCAAATAAATTTCCAGTAAAATACTCAGTAAATTGTCAGTAAATTCTCAGTAAATAATTAGTAAATTCTCAGTAAATTCCTAATAAATTCATAGTAAATTTTTAGTAAATTACTCAGTAAATTCGCTGTAAATTTGCAGTAAATTACACAGTAAATTTTAAGTAAATTCTCTGTAAATTCTAAATAAATTACTCATTAAATTCTCAGTAAATTCTTAGTAAATTACTCAGTAAATTCCTAGTAAATTCCCTATAAATTCTCAGTAAATTACGAAGAAAATTCTCAGTAAATTACTCACTAAATTCCCAGTAATTCTCATAAAATTCTCGGTAAATTACTTAGTAAATTACCATTAAATTCTCAGTAAATTACTCAATAAATTGCCAATAAATTTTCATTAAATTACTCAGTAATTTTGCAGTAAATTCTCATTAAATTTGCAGTAAATTCCCAATAAATTCTCAGTAAATACCCACTAAATTCTCAGTAAATTTTCCCTAAATTACCCAGTAAATTCCCAATTAATTTTTAGAAAATTACTTAGTAAATTCTAAGTAAATTACTGAGTAAATTCCTAGTAAATTCTCTGTAAATAACTCAGTAAATTTTGTATAAATTACTCAGTAAATTCCTTGCAAATTCTCATTAAATTACTCCGTAAATTCCCTGTAAATTCTCTGTAAATTACTAAGTAAATTCTCAGTAAATTCCCAGTAAATTCTCTGTAAATTACTCAGTAAATTCCCTTCAAATTCTAAGCAAATTAATCAGTATATTCCCAATAAATTCTCAGTAAATTACACAGTAAATTCCTAGTAAATTGTCAGTAAATTACTTAGTAAATTCCCAAAAAAATCTCAATAAATTCTCAATAAATAACTCATTAAATTCCCAGTAAATTCTCAATAAATTCCAAATATATTTTCAGTAGATTACTCAGTAAATTCCCAGTAAAATACTCAGTAAATTGTCAGTAAATTACTTAGTAAATTCTCAGTAAATAATTCTCATTAAAGTTCTAGTAAATTCCTAATAAATTCATAGTAAATTACATAGTAAATTCGTAGTAACTTACTCAGTAAATTTGTAGTAAATTACTCTTTAAATTACTCAGTAAATTCCTTGTCAATTCTCAGTAAATTACTCAGTAAATTCTCAGTAAATTCCCAGTAAATTACTTTGTAAACTCTAAGTAAATTACTAAGTAAATTGTCAGTAAATGTCCAGCAGATTACTGAGTAAATTCCCTGTAAATTCTCAGTAATTTACTCAGTAAATTTTCAGTAAATTGCTCAGTAATTTCCCAGTAAATTCTCAGTAAATTACATAATAAATTCCCAGTAAATTACTGAGTAAATTCCCAATAAATTCTAAGTAAATTACTCAGTAATTTTAAGTAAATTCTCAGTAAATTACTCATTAAATTCTCAGTAAATTACTTAGTAAATTACCATTAAATTCTCAGTAAATTACTCAGTAAATTTGTAGTAAATTCTCATTAAATTACTCAGTAAATTCTCAATAAATTCTCAGTAAATTTTTCATAAATTACCCAGTAAATTCCCAATTAATTTTCAGAAAATTACTTAGTAAATTCGAAGTAAATTACTGAGTAAATTCCTAGTAAATTCTCTGTAAATAACTCAGTAAATTTCGTGTAAATTCTCAGTAAATTACTCAATAAATTCCCTGTAAATTCTCTGTAAATTACTAAGTAAATTTCATGTAAATTCTCAATAAATTCCAAGTAAATTCTCAGTAAATTACTCAGTAAATTCCTAGTAAATTACTTAGTAAATTCCCAGTAATTTCTCTGTAAATTACTCAGTAAATTCCATTCAAATTCTAGGCAAATTACTCAACATATTCTAGTAAATTCTCAGTAAATTATACCGTAAATTCCTAGAAAATTGTCAGTAATTTACTTAGTAAATTCCCAGTAAATAACTCATTAAATTCCCAGTAAATTCTCAATAAATTACAAATAAATTCTCAGTAGATTACTCAGTAAATTCCCAGTAAAATACTTAGTAAATTGTCAGTAAATTACGCAGTAAATTCTCAGTAAATAATTCTCAATAAAGTCCTAGTAAATTCATAGTAAATTACACAGTAAATTCGCTGTAAATTTGCAGTAAATTACTCTTTAAATTACTTAGTAAATTCATTGTCAATTCTCAGTAAATTCCCAGTAAATTACTTTGTAAACTCTAAGTAAATTACTAAGTAAATTGTCAGTAAATTTCCAGCATATTACTGAGTAAATTCCCTATAAATTCTCAGTAATTTACTCAGTAAATTTTCAGTAAATTCCCAGTGAATTGCTCTATATATTCCCAGTAAATTACTCAGTAA